AAAAAAAAAGGCATAAAAATAAAATCAAAATTACTATTTTCCACGTCATTAAAAATAGAAAACATGAAAAAGTTTTTTCCAAAAAAAAAAAACAAAAATTAAACCAAAAAAAAAAAGACAATAAAATAAAACCAAAATTAGCATTTTCCATGTCATTTAAAATAAAAAACATGAAAAAGCGTTTTCCAAAAAAAAATCAAAAATCAAAAATAAAAAAAGTCAATAAAATAAAATCAAAATTAGCATTTTTCACGTCATTTAAAAAAAACATAAAAAATCCTTTTCAAAAAACAAAAAACAAAAAAAAAAACTGAAATTATCATTTTTCAGCAGTCATCTCCTGACACGTGGCTCTGCTATCCCATCTGTCAGCATAAACCATGCCATTCATCATCTAACCTCAACTGCCTGTCTTCACAGCTGGAGCTCGGCAGCCGAGCTGCTCTATCCGTTGCCGTGCCGTGCCGTGCTTCATACCCAAGCACTTCACTGGCTAAGTCCAAGAAGGACTGGGCTAGGCGACATCTCGGCAAAGCCTAGCCCGAGGCACCTCCTGTGGCCGGCCTTTCTGCCAGGCAAACAGTTACCTCGGCTGACCACGCCTTTCCGGGCGCCGGTCACTCCGCTTGTCTTGCTTCGACCATCGCCTAGTTGAGCAGCTCGGTCCAACCGAGCAGCTTCTTTACGGTCTGGGGTGACACACACTCGGCCCAAGTTCTGTCCGGCCCAAGTTCTGGCAGCCCATCTCTTGGCGGATAGTCAATCATCTCGGCCCCATGCATCGTTTGGGCTCTCAACCTGCTCGGCCATTACCACGGCCCAACTCCAGATCATAAATCACCCTCTCACTACTCTTATCACTTTTTATTATTTAACATGCATTTTAACACACATATTTAACTCACTACGAATACTCTTATAAATCTATGAAGTACTTGGTTATTGTTGTCCGTATAGATTCGTTTGGAATATGGGTTAACTTTTTAACTTTTTGATTTTTTTGACTATTTGAGCCTTAGATTAAAAAGTCCCGTTTGGGATAAATTTTTTAACTTTTTTGACTTTTGTGAGTAAAAAAATGAAATGATTATCGTTTGGATGTAATATTTTATTTTATTTGACTAAAAAGTCTATTTTATTCTTTTTGTGACTATTTTAGTAAAAAAAATCATGTTTATTAAGTCCTATCAAATGATATAGAGTGGAGATAATTTTTAAAATTTTATTTTATTTGCAATTTTTTTTCTTGGGTGCAAAAGTCCAATAACAACTACTAGTAATGATATTGAGGGAAGAATTACAGCATTAAATGAAAAGGTGGCAAGCAAATTTTGTTGGAGCATTAATTATTAACCCACAGTAGTGTCAACCTTCAACCCAATGTAGCCCAAAGCTTGAAGTAATAATAAACTCAAATGTAATATATATATATATATATATAAAATAAATTGAGAGTTTTAATTCGATCATATGTTAGATAAAAAATATCATGTTATAATTTTATTTGTATTTAAAAAGAATATCAAATTTATCTCTATTATTAAATTAATACATAACGACATGTTATGTGATGTTTCTCAAAAATCAAGTAATCTCTCAACTTGTCTTGTCTATTCATTAACAATCCCCTTCTAACATTATTGTACACCAGAAGATGTAATAATGATAACAACTTCTCAAACTCAGCCTTCTCTATAGGAGGACCATATATCGTTATCTACATCTAAAAGCAGTTATAGAAATAAGAGTAAAAAATTTCTAGCAAAATATTAGTTTAGTTATTGAAAAAAAATTCAAATAATATGACATAATTGATTAATATTATGAATGTTTTCTTTTTTTTTTTTGGGTACATCGGAAAGGGAAACACAAGCAAGAAGCAAAAAAAAAGAAAAAGAAAAAGAAAACAATGCAAGAGCAGGCACAGCCACCCTAGATTCGACGATATGCCGTTCCAATCATATCTGCCACTACTTGGCTCCGAACTCCAGCAAGAGGATCATCCACCATCACCAACTGGTCCCTTTGATCAGCCCCCATGTTGGCAAGGAGATCAGCACATTTGTTACCTTCCCGCATGATATGACGAATAGTGCAAGTACACCTACGGAACAAGTGCCAAGCATCCTCTACTATGCTGTGGAAAGAGCAGTTTTGGAGAAGGCCTTCAGTGAGCAAAACTGCAACCAAAGTAGAGTCTGTTTCCACTATGACTTCATGCATTCCTTTTTCCAGCACGATCGTAAGCCCTTAGTATATACCCCACATTTAAGCTTCAAGGCTCTGACAAGAGTCCAGTTGCCTAAGGAAACCATAAATCCAAATACCTGGCTCGTCTCTAAAGACGCCTCCAAACCCACCTTTCCCCAGATCTCCACGGGCACATCCATCAGTATTAAGTTTGATCTTTCCTGCAGGAGAAGGTATCCAATTAACCAAAGTAAGAGATGGCCTATTAGAGTGTAAATTTTAATCAAAAGCTTGTTGAATCTCATTAACACAATTACAAATAAGATAGACTGTTTTTTGCCAAGAAGGTTCAATATTATCAAAATTATCCTGTTTCTATCTTTCCAAATTTGCCAAACAGTAATTGCAAAGACTAAGCTCCAGTTGGAAATCACATCAGTTTGGGGACGTAAATTCCTTTTGAACTAATCAAGGAAAGCCCTGCCTATTCAGAACACAATCATGACTACCAACCAAATTATCCCAAACATGTTTAGAATGCATACAACTACGAACCAGATGTTCAACATCCTCCAGATGATGATAACATCTGGGACAACTAGCATCTTCTGATAAACCTCTCAACATTCGCAAAGCATTAGTAAGCAGTCTATCATGAAAAATGAGCCATAAGAAACCTTTAAGCTTTTGGGGAATCTGAAGTTTTCAAACCCAGTCCAGAAACATAGGATTCTCCACCGGAGGAAAAGCAAGCTGATAAGCTGTGACAGTAGAAAAATTACCACTTGGGGACCCCTTCCAAAAAGGGGTGTCAGGAAAAGTAACAAATTGGGGTAAATGGATTTTGAGCACTTCAGAAAAAACATCCCTGGGAAGATAGGACTCAAACATATTCACATCCCACTCCCCTAAGCCATTCATGAGCTTATCCACCTTGTCCATATTAATGGAATTATGATTCGGGTATTGGGATGCTAAAGAAGCCTCCCCACACCACCAATCATGCCAAATGGAGATCTTAGAACCATCACCAACCCCCCATTTGATGCCTTTTCTTAAGACATCCCTCGACTTAAGGATACCCCTCCAAGTAAGGAAGGAGTTCCTTTTAGAAGAATAAGTCATGAGTTGGTCATTAAGCAAATACTTCTGCTCCAGCACCTTCACCCACAAGCTAGAGTCCTTACAAAGGGTTCTCCAGCCCAGTTTGGATAACAAGGCACTATTCTGGAGCTTTGCCTTACGAAGACCAAGCCCTCCAAATTTCTCACTGTTACAAATAGTAGCCCAATTCAAAAGATGAATTCTTTTCTTATTCTCACAGTCATCCCACAACAAATTACAGTTATGCTTATCAATAACCTTGCAAATATTAGCGAGAAGAAGCATGGTTTGCATGAAATAAGTAAGAATTGCATAAGTGACTGATTGAATTAGAGTAGCTCTCCCCGTAAATGAGAGCATACTTGTTTTCCACTCAGAAAGCCTACTTTGAATCTTATCAATAATAAACTGGAAATGATTCCGACTACATCTGCTATGAAGCAAAAGAATACCAAGATATCTGCCCAAATCAAGTGTAAGAGAAATGCCACACAGCCCACTCAAGTTCCTTGCTTTGGATATAGACACATTAGGAGACATGAAGATTTTGGACTTCAGGAGGTTTAGCTTAAGACCAGAAATAGCACTAAACTTCCTCAAAACATCCATGATAGTTTGACAATTTCTTTCCTCCGCTCTACCGAAAAGGAGAAGATCATCTGCAAAGAAGAGATGGGAAATAGCAGGGCCTTGTACAGAAGCCCTCACCCCTTTCCAACTTTTATCATTGACTTTAGCCAAAATCATATTTGAAAGTCTCTCCATGCAAAGCACAAACAGGTAAGGAGATAACGGATCCCCCTGCCTTAGCCCTTTCTCCATAGGAAAGTCCTGCAACTTTTTCCTATTCCAGAGAATAGATGCATCAACATTGGTAACACAATTCATAATTAACTCTATCCAATAGGCATTCAAGTTATAATCCAAAAGAGTATGGTGGAGAAACTGCCATGACACATTGTCATAGGTCTTTTCGAACAATTGTACAATGGAAATAATTGAGAGTGGAAATAATTGAGAGTATTATATCTATATTGAACAATTGTACAATTAAATTGGTGAAAATTTTTAACGCTTTTTTTATTTATTAAAAAACCCACATGAGAGCGGCTACGTCATATAAAATTGTTTATTTTTTATTTTTGTGTCTAACAAATCTCTAAACTGTTAAGGATTGTTTATTAATTAAGGATTGTTTATTAATTAAGAAAACTAAAAATTTAAAAATTTATTAATTAAGGTTTGTTTTAAGAAATGTTAAAAAAATTGAATTTTTTATTTATTTATTATGAAAAGATATATAAAAAATAAAAAATAATAATATAATTCAAATAAATTAAAAAATTAATAAACTGACTTTTGTAACCCTTCTGACAAGAGGCCTAATTTTCAATTTTATTGCAAGGCAAAGCTTACCATGGGGAGAGAGAGAGAGAGATTGACATAAATGCTTTTCTTTTCCACATGAATAGTGGGAGATGACAATCAATCCCACTATCCTGGCATTCTTGACTACTTTGCAATGAAATTGATTTCTGAGTTCTCAAAATATACTTTAAAAAAAAAAAAATTACAAATATATTTTTTAAGATTTATTTAAAATATAAATTGTTCTTTATAGTTTAAAAAAATTATAAATATTTCTTTGTTAGTATTTTTTATTTAATAGAAATAATTAAAAAATAAAATTCATAATTGCTCTCCTATATAATAATAAAATTATCTAAATTATTAATTGAAATATATTTCTAACATCATTAAAAACTGTTAATTGACTTGATAATTTATTAATAAAATGGGCAATTTATTATAAAATTAGAAACCTGAGTGGGTGAAATATAATTTTCAAAACCACAGGGGGCGATTTGTATTTTAATCAAATCTCAGGGGATGTTTGTAATTTATCCAAAAAAAATTATAAATAAGTGGATAAAAAAATAGTAAGTAATTTTTTTCATAAAATTTTCACTTTTATTAGAGAATAAAATTTGAAAATAAAAAATATAATTTCTGGTAATTATTTTTGTTAAACTTCTTTATAATTTTTCTAAAAAAAAAAAAAATCGGAAAATTCTTTTAACTCATAGTTAGACATCGGATCAAATTGTACAAGTTTAGTAAAACTTTTAGTTGGATACTTAAGTCTCGTTTGGTAACTTTTGTTTTAGCCAAAAAATCACTATAAGTTGTTACATCATTTTCTCTACTTTTTTGTATATCTTTTCATAAAAAACTCAAAAATTACTAAAATAACATGTTCTCAAACAAGGCCTTACAATTCAATTTAAACATATATACAGTTTTCCACTGTTGCAATATAATCCCTCTATCCAACTCTTTCAATAAAACTATAACCCCACTGTCCTTGTTCACCTACTTTCCATATTATTTCTGTGGTTTTATTTTATGTTTATACTTTAGTAGTAGCTATTTTACATCTTAGTTATGACTGAATTATGAATCAATGGATTTTTAGTATTTGTAATACTTTTTTGAAATTATTGAGTTGATTGAATCTTGTAAAAGTTATTCTTAGCTTTTGCCTTGCTTCAATGAATCCATCATCTTTCCTCATCGCTCCAAGTTTAAGTTTGCATTTTATATTAACTAAAAAGGTGACAATAAATTCCAAATAAATTATTAAATATTCTACACAATAGTCAAACTAATTCATTTGTGAGTTAGTGGGGAAAAAATAAGAATAAATAAGATTTGTAAAAGTTATTCTTAGCTTTTGCCTTGCTTCAATGAATCCATCATCTTTCCTCATCGCTCCAAGTTTAAGTTTGCATTTTATATTAACTAAAAAGGTGACAATAAAATCTAAATAAATTATTAAATATTCTACACAATAGTCAAACTAATTCATTTGTGAGTTAGTGGGGAAAAAAATAAGAATAAATAAGATTAAAAAAAAACAATAAGAATAATATTACTACTAAAATTTACAGTACATACTAAAAAAATATCAAATCAATATTAAATCACCTATGTGCGTGCTACCCTTCTAGCTAATATAATATGCAAGGCTAGTGTGAGGCAACAAGGCGAGCTTATGGCTTACTAAAAAAGAAGGCTACATATTTTGAGATTTGATATTGTACCCATCTATAAAACAAAGCCCAAATGTGTCCGACATATGCCAAGGGCATCAGACAAGTGTAGGTGTCAAATAAGTGTATCACAATCACAGTCATGCTTCTTGAGGATGGTTGTGACTTAATTGCATAAGTGTACATATAAGGGAAATGAAATTTCACATACGAGATTATGAAACAATTTCAAAAGTTTTACTGGGTATGGGATATGAAGCGAGTCTCACATTCATATAAAATAGTTGATAACAATTTTGACAAAATTTGTAAAATTTTTAACATTATTCATAATTAAAAGTATAATTAAATACTGGTCTTGTGACTCCATGATTGACAAGTGACTTAAGCGGTGATTAATACGATTTAAAATAAGTTATATATATATATTTAAAAAAATTAAGATAAATGACACTCCGAGGTTTTATTTAATGCACATCTTCTCATATTTAAAAAATTATATATTTTTTTTCTTGAGATTTGCAATCTTATTACAAATTGCTCCTTAGATTCTAAAATTTTTTAAATGACTATTTTGCCTTTTTATCTACTATTTTTTTTTCTATCTTCATGATTACATTCTACAACTTTATATTATTAAATTTCACGTGAATATATTTTTATTGAGTGATGATATACAAATATAAAACTTATATAAAATTTTCAAATATAATGATATAATTTAGGAAAAATTATTTATAAGTCCTATTATAGAGACTTATGTTACATATGGTCCTAAGTAAAAATTTAAGTAACGTTTGGTAGAGTTTTAGAATTATGATTTGAGAATAGAGTTATATTTTGAGTTTGTGAGTTTTGGAATTATAATTTGAGTATGAAAAATTTGTTTAGTTATGAGTTTTGAAAAGAGTTTTAAATTGAGTTTAAAATGATTTGATGTGACATGATATTTGATTAAAAAACTTATAACTCATAACTAAACACACAATCCAAAATTTTATTCAAAACTCATAAAAAAATTTAAACAAAATTTCAAAAATATTTTTTATTTAAAATATATATATATATATATATATATTTCAGTCAACCGGTCGGACGTCCAGGAGGATGACCAAGTAGACGTGTTTCTAAAAGTGAGTATGGAATCAACTTTTGAAAACGTGAACCAAACACCACACTCAAATGTAAGTGTAGAATTAAGTTTAGGGAGCTCTGTCAAACAGAGCCTTATGTTCTCATAAGTCCTGTGAAAAGTTGGTTGACACATTTATCCTAAAAAATAGTTGTTAATATCACAAATAATGACAAAATCATATATAGGAAATTGAATATTACTATAGATCATATCTATGTGGATGTGAATTTGAAATTCAACATAAACGTAATAATCTCCACAAGAACGCCAATGAACCAAATTTGGGATTGGATGGTAAACAAAAAAATAAGAGATATCCTGATCAGAATCAAATTCAAGTAGCATAAGATATATCTAGAGCAACCAGACACTGGAATTTTTTTATGCTTAGATTTCAATACGGTCGTTTCGCTTCTAAACATGAACGAACGAACCAAGATTCCGATATTCACAACCCACTTCAAAGGCCGTCATAAGAAAGTTTATAGATAAACAATCTAACTCCGAACTCAATAATACATAATGAAAACTAAGAGCTTCATTCACATAGATTCCAAGACTTTCCACGAACGAGCATCATTTTCATATGCAATCAAAAACCCATTAAGTTTGCGAAACATAACGTAACCCGTACGTAAACACTAAATACAACAACGTCACAATACAAACTTAAAGACAAATACAACTGAACGTGACACGCATAAAACATGACAACATTGCATATGTGGGTTAACATTACAACCTAAATGTAACGTCATTAGAGGCTAATGAAAGTGTGTCAATGTATGGCTGTACCATTTTTCATAAACCATCAACATTTTCACATTCAATTAAAAAAATCAAAAATCTAGTAAGTTTACGAAACATAACATGACACGTATGTAAACACTGAATACAACAATATCACAACACAAAATTCAAAGACAAATACAACCGTTCAGTAACACATACAAAACATGACAACATTGCAGATGTGGGTTAATATTACAACCTAAATATAACGTCATTGGAGGCTAATGAAAGTGTGCCAATGTATGGTTGTACCATTTTTCATAAACCAGCAACATTTTCACATACTATTAAAAGAATTAAAAACCCAGTAAGTTTGTGAAACGTAACGTGACACGTATGTAAACACTAAATACAACAACGTCATAACAAAAATTCAAAGACAAATACAACCGAACGTAACACGCACAAAACATGACAACATTGCAGATGTGGATTAACATTACAACTTAAATTTTATGTCATTGAAGGCTAATGAAATTGTGTCAATGTATGGATGTACCATTTTTCATAAACCAACAACATTTTTACATTCAATTAAAAAATCAGTAAGTTTGCAAAACGTAACATGACACGTATGTAAGCACTTACAACAACAACGACATAGCACAAATTCAAAAACAAATACAACCGAACGTAACACACACAATACATAACCACATTATAGATGTGGGTTAACATTGGATGGTTGTAACAGACTGTGAAAGCCATATTAGAAGCAAAAAAGCTTACTTCCTTCCCTTAAACGCTTGGAGTCCAAATCAGCAAAAACAAACAACACAACCCCCAACCTTGACAACAACATCTCCCATATCTAGATCCAAACCATAAACATTTTCAAAATCCACCGGAATCCGCGATCAATGCGACATTCACTTTCACAGACGACGCGTACGCATTGCACTTTCCTA